ATTTTCTGGATATTCTTTTAAAGTAATATTTTATTATTGAAATTTGAAAAATTCAATATTAAATATGATATAGCATAAATATATTATATATATGATATTTGTGGTCAAAACATTACTCAACAAAACCTGGTTATCGAAAAAAATCTTCCTGCAAAAATGACAGATTTATTACTCTTGAAGTCAAAAAGCCACCAAAGATTAGGATTTTTGTGAACTTCAAATGATTAATTTTTTGTATACAATACAAGATGAAAAACTGAATTCTCATAATGTCAAATTCTCAAACCCAAACATGACCTGTCAGGTCAGTCACTACGCTCAGGTCATAAGGAAGTCGAGATAATTTCAATATCGAAGTGAAATGAAGATTTATTTTGAGATAATTAAACCTTTCCATCCATTTACGTCAAACGTAATTCAAGAAAGAATGATTTGTTGATTGTGAGTAAAATGAAAAATGGGTGAATTTAAAAAAAAAAATACATGGTTCCAAACTAGTTCAGTAATATCTAAACTCTCAACCATCTACAGAACTTATGACCACATCATGTTGAAACACTGGTTTATTATACAATCACCAAATAGACAAAACCATTTTAAGTCTAGTCATAGATAGATGGGTGACTTTCAGAGAATTTCAGGTGCTGTAAGCTTGAGAATCAGGTATGGTAATGGAACAATGGCTCAGAATTATTAATCACAGAGCCGAACTCCAATTTCTTTTGGATTTGTTATATTCAGAAGAAAACATTCAAATAAAAAAAGAAGGTGAAAGGTATGAAAAAACTTCTTTTCCCCCACAGCTATGGGTTAATTAGTAAGACTTTTATCACTGAATGATCTTGAAAAAAAGTTCTTAAAATCTAAAAATATTGTCTAGTATTAAATAGATTGCAAAACATTGATAAGCTGTAAAAAGCGAATCAATTAAAAAATCCTGTTTATCTAAAAGATCTTCTTGCAACAATGAACAAATTTGAACTGAGAATGTCAAAACAGTTAGGAAAAGTGTAGGTTTTATGTGAACTTCAAAGCTATTAAAAAAAAACAACCAATACAGGATGAAAAATTGAATTTTGATAATGTTAAATTCTCAAAAACAAACATGACCTGAACTATGTTCATGCTATAAGGAAGCCATAATAATTTCAATATCACAATGAAATAAGATTTATTGAGATAAACCTTTCCATTCATTTATGCCATTCATAATTCAAGAAAGAATTTGTTTATTGTGAGTAAAATAAAAAAAAATGGTGAATTTAAGAAATAACAAATGCATGGCACCAAATACATTCAGAAATATCTAAAATCTTAACTGTATACAACTGCATTATAAGATTATGTATTAAAATTTTTTTTAAATCATGCCTTATGAGGTCTTGGGAAAATCATTCTTTAAACCTTATTGATTGATGTTATAGAATCATAAATGATTATACCAAATAACAATGAAACCACATTGCATTTGAGGTTTTCAATGTGTCAACAACCATGGCAAAAAGAATTTTAGCTTAAGACCTTAAACTATTACCAAATTCATGACTTTAATGTTGAATGGTAAATTAATAAAAGGAGAGAGTTAAATCAGTAGTGAATATATTCAACAATTGTAAGCTAAACCATTTATAAATCCAACATTTTTCTTTTTGCCAAATAAAACTCATTCTTTTAACAATATTTTGTCTTTTGCAACAAGAATTCTATTGTCATATTGTCTGCCAGCATGCATTGGTAAAATAATAAATAGTCTCAGATTTTGGAATTAAAAAGAGTTTGAATTTTCTTTGTTGGAGCCATTTTTTTTTAATATGTGAATTAATCTTGGGAAAATATGAATTCTTCTTCTCCCCCACCACCAGCTTTTTAGTTTTTAGCAAGACAGAACAGGTTCTATAGCCTTTGATAGCAACTGGTCTACCACAAAAATAAAAGGCTAAAAGCATTGGAAAAATTATGCCTCATCAGTCACATACCAAAAGATACATGATCGCCTAAGCATTTATCATGCATGGCACATAATTGACAGTGAACATTAAACTCTCCAGTATATTATATTTAGCAGAAATTTTGACTGTTTATTTCCGATTTTAAATATAAATGTCCTTTTTATTTCTATTTTCCATAAAAATGAACTTGTTACTCCATATCAATCCATTATTTCAAATAACTGATTAGTATCAATATAACAATGTCAAGTTAAAAATAAATATTCTTATATTTATAATATATATATATATATATATATATATATATATATATATATATATATAAAAAATAAATAAAATTTAATATTCCATGGTTTTAATTTATTCCATTAGAATTGAAAATTCATCCAATTCATCATTAAAAATTCAGATAAAAATAAAATTAAAAAATGTTTAAAATAAAATAGAATTTTTGAGATAAATTTCATATATGGTGACATATTCTACACCATAAACGAAATAATGTTTGAAATCAGAATGAGAGGGAGTTATAATATTGGAGAATATATATTTATATGGCATATATATATATATAATGGATAGTAATATAATTGATTGAATAATTTGGACACTTTTATTTTACTTTTAGTAATGGACATGAATCAATTACATTCAAACTTACATGCTAGTACCCCATACAAGGTTATTCCTTTTCTTTTCCCCCATTTTATATAAATAAAGGAAAGACCGTGGCTCCTATTTTCCTTTTATCCCATTTTTTGTAAGAGATAAAATGGCAACCTACTCCAAAAAAAATTTCATATAGACTCAATCATCAAAAGATACATGATCTTCTTAGCTTACCAGCCAATCTTGTTGAAAGCAAGGTTTTTCATTCTTTTAAAAAAAAATTTTTGTCTTTTTACATTTTCTATCTGTTTCATTATTTCTCCAAACTTGATTAACCTAAAGGAAGTTCATTCTTAAATAGCCTCATCAGTCTGAAACTTAAAAAACTTTTTATTAAATACTACTTAAAAAAATAGGGCTAATTTGGCCATATTTATAAATAGGATCCCCCTTGTAACAGTAAGCAAGAAAATATGTAGCATCCTATTCTACAACATTTTTGCAAAAAAATCACAATTAAAAAAAAATTTGAAAGGTCATCAATGGGTTGACCTTTTCATTGTAACCTAATAATTAAGCAGGTGCAGAATCATACCTCAAGATAAAATTAAACTTTTTCTGACATAAGAAATGGTTGATGCAGTTGAGCTTATTTGTTTTGACACATGAGACAAGCAAATGACAGGAAGAAATTAGATACCTCCCACCTGATGCCATGTTTTATATTTAAAATGTAAATAAAAGTCGACATAGAATAGATTGTGCCAGAGGTAGTTTCACTGAACGCCACAAATTGTTATGAAACCAAAACCTCAACCTGAAAACTTGAGTCATGTTCTTAAATATCCTTGTCCAGTTGATACTTTCATGTAGACGTCATGCATAGTACCAACTGTCAGTTGTTATTTGTGACAGATAGTAGATCAGGGATTTCAAAAATGTCCTTTGAGCAATTGACACACACACACACACACAAACACACATATAAAATGGATATCACATGTAAATCAGACATTTTAAGTCAAAAATGTTTTTTTTTTTTCAGGTGTCTGTAACATAACAAAAATAATTTTTTATTATCTTCTTTGTTTTCTTGATAAAAAAATTTCGTACAAAATATTATTTTGATTCAAATTCAACTTTGAAAATATTCATTCCTGAGGTGGGCCCATTACTTCTGCAGTCATAACTGCTTGCCAAAAATGGAAATGAATTCAATCAACCTTGTTATTTAAACCCATAACTGGACATTGAAGAAAGATGAAACCAATATCTTTCCCAAGGGTATTTGTGTAAAAGTTAGTGATGACCTCAAATGGACTGTGAACACAGCTTACCAGTTTCTCATTCTGAACCATTATTGTTATATAGGAATAAAGTGTCGCTACTGACACTGGAGTTTGAACACAGATCACCAGAGAACAAACACAGGTGATCCCATTTTGAATAAGGAGATCATGTGATGGGAAAGGAAATGTATATATGGGAATTAGCATGGCATCTAAGTGATTACTATACAGATTACTATTTGGTGGTTACTTTTCAAGGAAGTATTATCGAGCAAGTACTATAAGTATTAGTGTTATTCAAAGAAGTCTGACACCTGTATTGTTAAAAGGCATTACTATAGATGTATCTGCGATTAAAAGTCTCTGCTCCAACAAGCATTGCAAAAGTGGCAACGAGTGTTTGTTGACATCACAAAAATTATCCATCACACCACTCACATCCAAGCTAGCTACACCAGGTATTTCTAAGTGATCATTCATCTAGCTACTGACAAGGCTCAACATTGCTTAACTGTGATAATCAGTGTTTCGGCATAATATAACTGTAATAAGCAGTCATAGTAATGTTCTCACATTTTTTCATAGCAATCAACCGTATGTTTGCCTCCGTCTTTTCTATAAATATTTTTATAGTAATTGTTCAGATGAGCTCTTCACGATGGTACCTCGACTGGCACCAAGATCTCATCAATTTACAGTACGGCTGGCTAAATATGGCAGTAAATTCTATGCTAACAGTTTCTTCTTTCACACTTCTCATTTGTGGAACTCCTTTTCAGCTCCATGTTTTCCAACCAACTTTAATTAGCAAAAATTAAAATGCAATGTCAATCGCTTTCTAATGTCCTTCTGATTACTCTCTTCTTTTTCTACTCATCATTATTTTTTCTGTTCTCGATTCTTTCACACCCTGTAACCCCTTGTGGTTTAGGGGAATTACTGCCTTGATTGAGGTGATACCGTTTTTTTTTTGTTTTTTTTTTTTGTTTTTTAAAAGAACAAAAAAATAAACAAAGATATCCTTGTAATGTTTTTGAGTGCAGATAAGAAAAATTGAATTAACCAAATGCTGAGTATTGGTAGGTGGTTAGTGTAAATGATATAAGCATGGAATTGACAAGCTAATTTCAAATTCTGTCTGTTTGGTTGATTTTCATACAAATGTTGAAACACCAGTTCCCGTATGATCACTGAAGTTAAGCAACATTAAGCCTAGTAAGTACCTAGATGGGTGACCGTTTGGGAATACCAGGTGGTGTAATCTTGGATGTGTGGGTAGATATTGTTCTGTGGGACAATCTTGAGTACAGAACTTTGTTTTTGAACCTCATCTACCTGCTGATGATTTTGCTGCTGTTGTTTGTCACACAGAAGTGATGATTACTGCTGCTAGACAACATTGAACCTGGCCAGTACCTAGACGAGGAAACTCTTGGGAATACCAGGTGCTCTCAGCTTGGATGTGCGGGTGGTGTAATGGATAATGGCTGGGAATTGTTCATAGAAAAGCCGAGTTCCAATTTGAAGAGATCACTAAAGTTAAGCAAAGCTGAACCTGATCAGCACCTAGATGGGTGACCACTTGCGAATACCAGGTGCTGTAAGCTTGGATGTGTGGATGGTGTAATGGATAATGGTTCAGAATTGTTAATCAAAGTGCCAAGTTCCAATACCCGTTGGGTTCGTTGTATTCACTTACTAGCCTAGAAGCCGCCTTTTGGGCAGACTTTAAGCTAGCTCCTGCGGCGGGATTTTGGGCCTTTGGCCTCTTATGTATGTAATAAAATAGCCTAGAAATTATAAAATAATTTTATCTTTTATTCAACACTTTAATTCTGTATAATCCGTCTTTGTATAAACAATGAATCTCCATAGTTTATTTATACTTATTTTCTGCAAAATCTTTCTTTCCTTTTCAAATCCCCATTCTTTATGATCCCTTCACATAAAGTCACTCTTAAGACATTAGGGTGCCCAAACTATGTAATATCTTGAATACATGTGCTAGAAAAAGAAAAAAAAAACATGAGCAATGTACCACTTAAGTTTTAATTATGATTTAATTGGATAATATCAATTGCAATGAAAAGCAAAATTAATGTTTAAACTTTAATAACGATTTTTAAAAAATCTTTCCCACAGTTTGATATTTAAATTTAAGCATACATGAGTTATTTATTTTAATTTTTAATCATGTGTAACTATAGTAGTTACTGCTGGTTACTTTAGGTTGTTTCTGATTCACCAAGATCAAAAATGGACGAACGGACACACGTACACTGTGCTTTATTTATATAGATGTGCAAGTACCCTTGACAAAGGAATTAACCCACCTCTTCCCCCTATCAGTCAGACATATAGATTTTTAATGAAGAAACAAAATTTTACATAAATATAAGTGTTTTTATATATATATATATATATATATATATATAGCGGAGGCATGGTGAAGTAATGGTTAGCGGCTTGGATTGAGGAATCGCAGAGCCGAGTTCGAATCCCAGTCGTATCCATTACATTCACTTAGATGCTAATACCCTTGGGAAAGGTGTGAATCCTCTTCTTCTCCCTTCAGCTATGGGTAAAATAGCAGGACAGACTGGATGGCAACTGGTCTAGGAGAAGGACAACTCTGAATTCAAAATCTGCGGAGGGTCGTTTGGGGACCTTGTGGCACTTAGTGCACCGGGTCTCTGAATTCGGCCCTTCAAAAAGTGTGGATGGTCCTGCACGAAACCTTTTGACTATAATCAAATCTCATGTGCTGTTGGTTTGTCGATTTCCTGGGAACTGATGTGCTTTGACCCTCATATGTCATATATATATATATATATATATATATATATTTTGTATTTAAGATTAGTGTTCCCATATGATCATCAAAGTTTAAGCCTGGTCAGTACCTTGATAGGTGACCACTTGGGAATACCAAGTGCTGTAAGCTTGGATGTGCAGGTGGTGCAATGTATAATGACTCAGAAATGTTAATCAGAGAGATGAGTTCCAATTCCAGCAGGGTCCATTATATTCACTTACATGCAAATACCCTTAGGAAAAGTATGAATCCACCTATTCTCCCTCCAGATATATGCTAATTAGTAAGATTTGTATCACTAAATCATTGTCTACAAATAAATGAAAATTCTTGCAATCTAAAAATATTCTCTGGCTTTAAATAACCTGCAAAGGATTGATAAGCCATAGAAAGCAAATTTTTCCATGTAATTAGAAAAGTGTTTTTCAAATAATCTCACAAAGTCATTGGAAAATTTTTTTGATTAATTTTTCCAATAATTTAATGAACAAAAAGATACATGGAGTTTTTGGTTATGTACTGAAGGAATGGATCAGTTTGAAATTCCAAGTATGTTCCTAAGTATGAAAAGGACACAAGAAGAAGTCTGGTAAGTGGAACCGCTAAAGCAAAACAACCAAAATTAACATGCTGGTGTGAATTGTAAAGCATATAATCATATTTGAAATTATACTTGTTTCTTAGCACATACATTGGACACTGCCAGTACCTCATAAATAATAGACTATTCTATTTTGATTGCAATTACAAACAGAAAAGACATATCAAAGATTATCTTTGTTTTCATTGAGAAAGAGACAAGATAGATGAGTTGATAATACTCTCATGCGTTTAATATCTGCTTCAATGAAATGGAGAACTTTGTCAATTTTAAATCTTTTACATTTGTATTTTTATTTTTTAAATAATGACCTGCGGTCAGGATTATGATTATTATTGCAATATTTTGTTAAAAAGACGATAATTTTTTGTTAAATTTTTAAATATTTATTTAAAAATAAGCTCTAATATTTTTTTAATTAATTTTATTTAACACAATAATATTCAATTTATGCAAAATTTTTTTTTTTTTTGTAGTTGTTTAACTCACAAGGAGCTTATTCAAGATTAGCCTTAGAGTTATAATTCTTTAGAAAATTCAAATAAGAATGCTGTGAATTTTTTACTCCTATTTCTGGTAATAAGAAAATAAACAGTTTTCTTAGCTAGAATTTTTTTTGTAACACACTGAAATGTTGAATTCCTCAAAGTTCTTATTATTGTTGAAGTTATCACTAAAATATTTTGTCAAGATTAACAAACTCTACAATTTTTTGTTCATATTTTCAAATTGCATTTTTTTCTTTTTTTTGAATTATATATATATATATATATATATATATATATATATATATATATAAAAACTTAAAGAAAAGATATGCAAAAAAAATATTGCATTTTTATTAAATAAATATTTATTATTTCAATTATTAAATTGTTTTTTTAAAATAGTGGGAGTATTTTGTATGTTAAATAATAAACCTTTTAATTTTTCCAAAAAGAAAAAAAAATGAACAAAAAATCTGTTTTACTTAGCTACATACCCTAGTAAAACCAACTGTTCTTACTGCCCCCCTTAACTGTTTACAAATTTTCTGATTGCTCAATGTATGGCTATTTTAGAGGATGCGTTGGATGGATGGATGCAACTTACTGAATTTTATATATAGATTTTAAGCTTATGTTTTGTGATCTTTTGAATTCATTGTTCTTTCTTGCAAAAGGAAATGGTAAATAAGGAAGAATGTCATCTCTTTCTTTCTAATTTAACAAATTCTTAAAACAAGGACACTCTAGCTTCAAAAATATTTTTAGCTCATCCCAAAAAGCCTTTTTTCCCCGGTAAATGATGTAATTTATGGAAAGCAACATTGTCCATTACCAAAGTCATGGCCAGCTTTAAGGCAATTAGACCTTTTGCTCCTAGTCAGGTTTCATGCCTAAGGTAAACTATTCTAGTTTGTTAAAATACAATAAACATTACATTCTAACATCCCAACAATAGAATGAAAATTTTACAGAGAATAGCAATGATTTAGATATTCTGCTAAATTCTAAAAGTCGGAGTTTCTGTCTGAATTTCTAGGTTTGGAATTATCACTATTTACATGTAGGCTGTTGTCACCATAACATTTCAGCTGTTGTTATTAAAATGTTGTTATTACCATGGTTTTATAATATTTTTATGATAATTAATTATTATTACATTATTTTATTATAATATTATGTTATTATTATTATTATAATAATATTTTATTATAATATTATTATTATTATTATAATATTTTATTATATTATATTTATTAATATTATTATAAATAAAAAATAACATAAAAATGTTGTATAAAACAAAATAAAAAAAAAAAATTAAAATAATAAAATTCTTCCAGCATACATCAAAAACTGTTCCTGCTAGAAATATGGACATCCCACCAAAAGATGTTAAATGCAATTTCTTTACCACAAACCTTGGTATGGACAACACATGTCCGACTTCTCAGTTTGTATACAACAGAGTAAATTTCCCCTTTTTATCACATGTTCCATAAAACAATTGTAACTAAAAAATACACACACACTGTGTATTTAATACATATAAATTTATATAAATTATATATATGGGTTAAGATACAATTTAGCATACTTTTCCTGTTATTTGTGTATGTTTTATTTCCTGTCAAGTATGCTTTTATCTCTGTGAACACAAGGCTAATTTCTGCTGCTATGATGTGAGTGCAGGCTTAAATTTAGTTGAAACAGAGAGAGACATCCCTTGACAATGTACAGTGAAATAAGAACAGTTTACTCTCATAGATTAAACACTTCAGTTCCAATTTCCCTAAAATTTACCCAGATCAACAGACCCATGAAGATGACTGGAGGTTGTGGCATCTGAAACATTTAGATAATAGCAGCAAAGATGAGGATATTAGTCCAAATGTAAACAGCATTACTGAATGTTTTATTTTTTAAACAGATTTTACTTTGAATTATTTTTTTTTCGAAAACATAATTTGGTTGTCTTCCTTTTTATTGTAAAAAAATATAAAGTCTATGTAAAGACAAAATGCATCTCTTGACATTCTACAGTGTTAGAGGAGCTTACCCATAATAACATAATGGACTATTCCATATGTAATAAATACTGTGCCTCAAGAGGAAGCAGGGAGTTCAGTCTGAAGTCCAAGCCAGTCAGTCAGTCAGACATTTTGAGTCGAGTCAAAACAGAGTATGTGTTTAGACAATTACTACTAAACCTGATTGTTTTACTAACACTTTCTACTTCTCTGTATATATTCCTGTTTGTATATATATCTGTGTTATTCCATATCAGCCTTTGAGTTCTTCTTTTATTGGTTCTACCTTGGACTATCACCGTGGTACAAGGAACCAGACCATTTTATTTTT